AACTTTTGAACTAAAGACTAGATCATTTAAGGTTTATCATTATTATTATTATTATTATTATTAGATAGTAAGTTATACAATAAGAAATAATTCTTATTCCATTTATATATCTTGTGATTTAAATTTAAAATATTTTACTTTCACTTAATAAAATTATCTTTATAAGATAGAATAAGACTAGTTATTGACTAATTATTTTTATTTTTTATTAAAAAATTTAAAATTAATTTTAATTTTAATTATGAATATCAAGTATGTCTTTCTCATTAACCTATATTAAATTACAATTAAAACTTGTTAAAACAATTTAAAAAGTAAGTTAACTTTTATATTTTAAAAATAAAAAGTAATAATAGCTGACACTCAGTATTTCCTATTGCCTTAAAGACCTAAAAACATAAAAATGGATTCAAAAAACAAAAGAAGAAAAGAAACCCTAGAAAACCTAGTATAGTATATTATACCATACGTAACGTCAAAAGCCAAGCATTTCTAACCGACGAAGCAAAATTCCAAAAAAGAGATCCTTAGAAGAAGAAAATTTCAGGAAATGGGGAAAAAACCAAATTTCCATACAAGGGTGATCTGGTATGAAATTTGCCCCTCCCAAATTTACAAAATCATTTCATACAAAAAATGGAAAATGATATGTAGACAAACAATTTTTAATTATAGTAGAATTTCATGTATCAATTAATAATTATTTTTTTTTAATTTTCAAAAAAATTAATAATTAATTACTTATTTTTATTCTATTAACGCCAATGTTATTAAATACACTACTCCCTCTCTGTTCCACGTTATTTGACGTTTTAGATTCGTGCACATTAATTAAGAAAAACAATTTATTATTCTTGATTTTAGAAATTCATAAGCTAAAAGTAACATTTTAGCCTTTTCAAATTTTCTGACATTATCACTCCTCCCCATCTTCTTCCCACCTCACCAGATTCTCCCAAATCCTCCACTCCAAGACAACAACGGCTTCACTCCTCTCAAATGCCACCATCTTCTTATTCTCATCCCTTCCTTCACCATTCCCACATTTATTTCCTCTCAAATCCCCTTAAAAAGTTCCTTCGTAAGTGTGTTGTCACTGTTCAATCAAACATAAAAGAGATCTATGCCCCCGATCTCAGATCCACCATGGTTGAAGGCAAGATTGTTTTCCTCGGGATCAAATCCAAAGGCAATAAGCTCTCTTCTAGGTGCCACCATTGGCATTCTCAGTGAGAGACATAGGAAAAGTAAGGCTGGTTTGTAAATGAAAGAGAAGATGAAAGAGGTAAAATAAATTTGAGTCATTGAAGAGATAAAAGTGAAATGGAGAAAAATGAATTTCAAACAAAAACAAAAAAAGAAATGAGAAAAAACGAGGCAGATGAATAAGCATACTAAGGACATTTTAAGAGAAAGGAAGCTAATTTTGGAAAAAAAATAATTAATGCAACATTGATATGCTAAACGTCAATTATTTAAAAACAAAAAATTTCCCCTAACACGACTAACAATATGGAATAGAGGCAGTAATTTAATAATAAATATGGAACGTAATGACAAAACACTGGCGCCAGGATTGGTAGCTTCCTGTATTTATTATCAGTAGGTTTCTGTATTTTGATATATGGGTATCTGAGAAGGGCAGAATCGAAAGAAGGGAAAATTTAATTCATTTGAATTTGATTGAGTTCCAACTTCCAAGGCCATATGGTTATGCGGCTATGCCCACCGAAAGGAATTGTTAGGCCATATAAAAATGATACAACTGTATTTAATTTAGGAGATTTTTTAATTTGTGCCATAAGCCTTATTTACTATAATATTTGTAATTAATTTTATATAAATTTTTATATAAGATTTAAATATAATATAATATTTTACTTTAAAATCTATAAAAAATTATGAATCTAAAATAAAAATTTGTGTAAAATTAATTTAAAATATCATAATTAATGAGTTTTAAGACACAAATTAGATAAACATTTAATTTAATTGTTAAAAATTAATAATTGTACTAATTATTAATGATAACTAGTTATTTATACCGCGTTGCACAAGTTGTTCTTTAGTTTTTTACATTAGAATTTATTTTTTATATTATTTTTTATTAACTCTTAAATTTTATAATAATTTTTAATTAAAAGGTTCTAATTAAATGATTAAGACTGAGTTTGAAATTACTTTTAATTATTGATAATTGTACTTTTTAAAAAGATTGTTCAGAGTGACATTAAAAGAAAGAACATTAACAGAATTCAAAAAATATTTAATATTAATTTTCATCTCATAATCCAAATAAATCATTTCCTCTTTTTTTAAAAATAAATTTTATAATATCAGTTATCTTACACATTTTACTTTTATTAATCAAATGTATTTTTTTTTCCTTTAACTAAATATATATTTTAATTTGTTAGACTTTTTACCATCCATTTAACTTATAAAACTAATAATTTTAATCAATTTTACATGTTATTTTATCTTATTTCTTTTTATAACATTTATTAATATCACTCATATTAGGAATGTTTTAGTGTCTTCGCATAATTAGTTTTGGTTTTAAGTTATATTAATTATTATTTATAATACATTTAATACATATTAAAATATAAGATTATTGTACCATTAAAATCATATAATAAACAGTTATCAATTGTAAATTAATGTAAATTACTAAAAAAATCTTAATTAAAACTTTCTAACCACTATACATTTAGTTTATCCATTCTTTATTATATTTTATCTATTTCTAGTTTTTGGGTTACTATTAAGGTATCATCAACTTATCCTAAAAAATTAAAGGAATTTTTTAAATTGTGCCCTTAGGTGGAGGTTAAACTTCATTAAATTAAGTATTTTCAATTAACTCAACATATAATTTTATACCAGATTCAATTAAAATAAAATATAAGAATTGTAACTCTTCATTTTCAATCATCATTATCATTTACTAAATTTTAATTAAAACTTTCTAACTATTTTATACTTTTTATTTTTCCATTCTTATTGTATTCTATCTATCTTTAGTCTTTAAATTACTATTAGGATATGAACTTATCCTAAAAAATAGAGAATTAAAATAAAATTATGGGCTTTCATAAATGGATGAATACAAATATATTATGACAATAATTATAATTTTTTTACTTTTTCTATTAAAATTTCTTTTAATTCCATTCATTATTAGTTATGTTATAGTTTTCATTTTATTTTCTCATTTAATTAATTTTATTAATTAATTAAAATTAAAATAAAGTAAAACTTTTTCATTTTCAATTATAATATAGAAATTGTAATTGTGGTTATGTTTTTTATTTATTTTTAAATAAATCTTAGTTAAAGCTTTCTAATCACTCTATACATTTTCTTTTCCATTTTTTATTGTATTTTTTCTATTTCTAGTTTTTTTTCCTGAAAAAATATTTACAATAAATAACCTTTTTATATATCATTTTAATAATATCTAACATATCATGTATTGTAACATTGTGTGACATTTTTTATATCATTGTTATTATTTCGTGCTATGATTAGTTGTGCATTAAATTTAATCTTACTTTTCTACAAATAACATTCCAAAACTATATATGTTAACATCTTAAATAATTTTAAATTTATAAAATTACATCATCTCTTGTTCAATATTTCTTTTCAAGGTAGTTATTTAAGTAATATTGTTATTCATATAAATCATTGTAGATTGAATCATTGTAGATTGAGAGTTCGACAATACAACTTTTAATATAAAAAATGGTTTATTTTAAAAATTAAGATATACAATTTGTGTGTGTATGTTTTTTTTAATATAAACTTTATTATATACTTACCTCTATTATCCTTGATGATGATAGATGTGAAAATAACAATCTCCACATTTAAGTTATTAGAAAATATGATTTGCTTAAATTTATTCACCATGGAAGACCAAAGTGTTATGCTCAAGTGATTTTTGCTTTAATAAATATAAAACAATATCAAATAACTATCTACAATTAATTAATCAAATATCATATTTTATCCAACTAAAAAGAAATGAAATTCAAATAGATTTCAAGCAATATCTTCAATATAATTTATCTTTGATCTTTTATATATAACTCTATGCAAATAACATCACTACTATTTGCTTGCCTTTCGTGTGAAGTCCCAACACCAACTAAAACTCAAATAACATCTAAATTTCTAATAAAATTATTTTTAATAAAAATGAGTTACATATTCATGTAATAACATTATTTTGAAATAAAAAAAACAATTACCACAAAGATCTTTCTTCTTTCTCTCGAATATATTCTCATAATCAATGAGTTCAAATACAAATCACAAGATTGCTGCAATTTCTTCATTCAATTTCTTGACAATAAAATCAAGATGAAATTAGATCCTATAATTATTATAAAAGACAACACATTAGATATCCTTATTATTTTCTACAAAAAAAAAATTTCACTTAATAAACATTCCCTTTAATTAATTTGTCCTTAAATTGCAAAGTATTGCAACTCTAAATTATAGTTTGAATAAATTTTTTTTAAAACAAATAACTATTGTTAATAGAAATTGTTAAATACCTAAAAGATCAAATGTAATAACTCATTAAATTTTAGCAACAAAGTATTTCAAAATAAAAGGAAAGATGTAACATAATTAGAGAAAAAAATTGGTGATTAAAATCAAATATCTATTCATATTGAGAAAAAAAAAATCCAAGCAACTATATTTTGCAACCAAATTTTGGATTTAAAAATTTCTTTAAAACAGAACAATAATAGAAAAATGTATGGAGTTTAAATAGTTAACATTTGACTCTACAATTTCTTTTGTTAGATAATCTTTTTTTTTTTTCCATTGTTCTTCCTTTGGTTGCCTTTTTATCTACCACATTTATTCACCAATCGATTACTTTTATCATTTGCATGTTTTCATTTATTTGCCTCTTCATCTACCTCCTTCATTAACATTTATAATTTTTCCTTTTGTTATTTGTAGTAATAATATAATTTTCTTATATATTTGCAAATATATTTTGCATACCCTATTTAATGTAAAGAGTAACATTTTATATATAGATATAAATAGATAGAATATAAGATATTTATTATATTAATAATTTAAAATTAAATTCTAAATAATATTTTAAAATATTTTAACAGTTATATAAACTGATAATATTGGATTAATTAAACATACATATTATACTTTTATAGTCCCAACAATTCCGTAGATAGCCATGACAGCTAGCGTCTGAGTTCCACGTACAACCAGGGAAACTTTGATTTAGGGATAAAGGGCAAAAATTTACAACCGTGTCATATCAAATAGTTAATTTAAGATGTACCAAGAACAAATAAAGAAGACTTGATCAATGTAATTATAAAAATAAGGAATTTTTAAAGGGATATATTAAAAATATATTTATTGTATTTTTTTATCAATAAATAAAGTACTTATTGTACTTTTTTGTTATTAATTTATATAAAAAAATTAAAATTAACTTTAGTTTTATCAACAATCCAATTAAAATGTTTTACTTTAAATTGATGTTAAAAATAAAGTTTATTTTCTAAATTTTTTATGTAAATTAATAATAAAAAAGTATAATAAATGTATTTATTAGAATACATGATAAAAAAAAAACCTATAAAATAGATAAAGATATCTTCATTAATGTAATTATTCTATATGTGATCTCTTTTTTGTACATATTTATATGATTGTTACTTCTTTTCATTTTTAATTTTTTGTACTATTAATAAAAGTAACTTCTTTTCATTTTTGGGTATTGATGGTCCTATATAACTAAAACATGTAGTTCTCTATTTTCCTATACATAGATATGGTTCTTCTTTCCCTCTTGTCCATGTTTTTCTCACAGCTTGATTTTGGGGATGAAGTCTCTCTCAATCAGAGGAACATCATATTCAAACTTAAATTTTGTAAATTTGCATGATTCATTTCTGTGAAACTTCCCTCTCTATGACTATCCAATTTAGACCATCATTAACATTCTGTATATATTGGTTTTTTCCCATTGAATCCGAAGTGGGCAATGGGGTCGGCAACATTTTTCCTTTATTAATTTCCTTGCTTCTTTTGCCAAAACTCTCTCCCTCTTTTTCTCCCTTGAGCTAGTGGGATGTTTTTCTTTCGCATGAGAAATGGGAAAAGCTCCAGAACTGGAACTCAACATCATTGGTAAGTAAGCACCCCTCCATTTTTATTAAAACGAATTCTGTTTCATCTATCAAACTAGCTAGAAGAAGAACTAAGCTGAGTTGATTTCCACTTTCATTCCT